ACTTTGGGATCTCTTGTACGGGTCCACCGGAGCTCGCAACATTCTACAAGAAAGCAGATAGTTCTACCGAAAGAAATCAAACATCAGAAAAGAGAAGAAAAGAAGTACCTCCAGCCATTTCAATGACACGACCGGCTTTTGTTGGCTCGCTGCCATCAAAACCATTTCTGTCACGGAGGAGCCATCCTCCACAAGCAAGTGAGTGCATTCCTCGTCCCATTTTTCCACACAGCGTGCCCCTTGAATGATCACACCAGACTTCAGCTCTACTTTCTTCAAGAAAACCTTACCAAAAGCAGTGTTTGCCTTTGAGATCACATTGCGAGCCTGGGACGCTGAAACGCAGAAGAAGAAATGCTCGTACGTGGCCCTGGAAACACCAAGGCAAAATCAGCAAAAGCAAAACCAAGAAAGAACTAGAGGACCTAAAGGTACTGCTACCCGTTCCAAACGTGATCTCATCCCCATCCTTTACAGGAGCTTCCTTGCCTGGCAGCTCCAACACAGGCCTCGCTCGTCCTCCTCCAGCCCCCTTGTTGAGAAACGTCCCAAACTTGGACAAATCCCTCACGATCGCTTCGCATTTCGTCCCGCCAGGAGGCAATGGGAGCACCACGAACTCGGCGTGGACGCGCGACACGGTCTTGTCCGTGGCGATGCACACCGCGCAATCTGCCGGCACGAGAGAAATATTCCGATCTAGCGGACCAAGAAATCGATCGATTCTACCTTTCCTGCCGATCTTGTAAGCGCCGGGCGCCGTGAAGCAGTAGCTCCGAGCATCTGCCGAGAGATCTGAGAGGAGAATCGCGAGAAAATAAACTCACCGGCAGAGGCATTCTTGAGGGCGCCAAGCTTCCAAACCATGGATGGAGCCCTAGTGACATGGCCTCATAGTGATGTGGCGTTATAATGATGTGGCATCATGATGACGTGGCATCTATGCGACGTGGCTAAATGACTGATTAAACAATCATAGAAAGGAAGGATATATATGTACACAAACCACCAAAAAAAATGGAACACAAAAATTGGTGCTTATAAGCTACTTACACTATGCGTTGTTTCTTTGCTGCTCGCTTGTTCTTCTTTTGTTCTTCTTTGTTCTTGGTCATCCAGTGAAATTTGCTCAGTGGAAGCAAAAGCAGCCGGATCGCGTCTCGGTCGGGGTCATGCCCGAGCCTTTTCTCGTATCGATGGCTTCCAGGAGCTGGACGACTTCGCTCATGTTGGGTCTTCTATCCGGATTCGCGTCCCAACACTTTCGCATGATATTCGCTAGAGGCGGCGGGCAGCAGCCAGGGATGTTTGGTCTCAAGTCCTGAAACGAAAAACCAAAAGAAACTTCTTAAAACTAAGAGCAAAGATCCGTAGCGATACCTGGTGCACAACCGCATATGTCATGTCTGCAAAGCTGTAGTCCGCAAAAGGCATGTCACAGCAGTAAATCTCCCACAGGCAGATTCCAAAGCTGTAGACGTCGCACTTTCGGTTGTAAGGTTTGCCATCTAACACCTGGATGGACCCGGGAATCAGTACTTCAGAGACAGTGACACGAAGTGGAGAGAAAAAAAGTCTTGCGTACCTCAGGAGCCATGTATCCCACCGTGCCAGTTTCGCCGGTCATGTCTTTGGGATTCTGAGCCTCGACGCGGGCCACCCCAAAGTCGGCGATTTTAACTCGCCGCTTATTGTCAAGTAGCATATTCTCCGATTTCACGTCCCTGTGAACTATCTTCTTAGAGTGAAGATAGTCAAGCCTGCAAGTGTAACTCAAAGCAAACGAACAAATGAAAAGAGAAGAAGAAAAACAAAAAAAGCGGCGAAAAGAAGCAAAAAAGTACAACAAAGGACGAAGAAACTCACCCTCTGGAAAGGTCCAAGGCTAGCTGGATCACGACCTTGAGCCGGAGCTTCTTTCGACAATGCTGGATGAGGAACTGCTTCAAAGTTCCACCCGCGAGGTACTCGACGACAACGCAACAAATGTTCGAAGATATACGAACGAATCCACCGGTGGACGCGACTTGGAGATCCGGCGATCCGACGCAAGCTCCAACAAACTGCCACTTCCCAGTCAGTCATCTTCTACTGGTAAACACCCACCAAAAAATAATTCCAAGAACAAAAGCGAAGAACATTCACCTTGGTCACATTGGGATGATCCAGCTTTTGCCAGACAGCCACTTCTTGTTGAAAAGAAGAACGTAAGGTGTTAACAAGAGCTTGCGACATTGCCTGTTCTTCCCCCCAGTCCAGTAGCTTCACTGGAATCAAAAACCAAAAGAAACAAGGGAAGAACAAAACAAATTAGAGGACCGATGTTATCGGATGCAGTGGAACTAAATGCGCGAGAAAGGAAAGAAATCTTTTTTACCCGCGACATCCTGGCCATTGTAGACGCCACGGTGCACAACTCCATAAGTTCCATGAGCGATGATGTCGTTGAGCTGGAGCTTGGCAATATCGATCTCCCAATCCTCCCTGACTCTGGGCCTGGATTGATTCGACTGCTCGCCGGGCTTTCCAGCAGCCGGGACCTTTATGTGCTTCTCCAGAGTAGCATCCAGGTCGAGGTCGGCGAGATTGAGCAGATCCGCGCGGACAAAACCCTTGCTCTGATCGGCTCCATGCGCCTTCGATTCCTCCATCCGAAATCCTGAAAATCCGACCTACTGGCAATTCACGTGGGAAGATCTGTGCCGGATCATCGACCCTCGCAGGAAGAACGCCAAAACCCTAAGGCACTGTGCAAGAAAATATTTGGAAGGGAAATAGTAGGAGTCAATGAATTAAAGAGCTCACACAAACTCTAGCCCTAGTGACGTGGCGTCCTAGTGATAAACGTGGCAGACTTTAGACCCTTTTTGCTTTATTGACAGATTTGTACAGTTAATCGTGCTTAAGAAAATTGGCACGCTCGCAAAATTGTCTTTGGCAGTAAAAAAAAATTTCGAAGAGAGAATTGGCTCACCTCTTCCACTGTGAGCGTCGCTCAGTGTCTTTCATCACTCCCAGTGTGATGGATGAAGAGCTTCATCACTTCGTAGAACGAAACTACAATGCTCACCGAGGGACCGGCTCGGGCAACGCGAGGGCCGACGCCGGAGAAGAGTCCCCTCAGCCCTTCATCCCTGGAGTTGGAGCTTGCATCAATCTCTCGAACAACGACGAATTGGAATGCGAAAAACTCACCTCCAGATCGTCATCAGGACTTTGGCAGTGTTAGAATCCATTCGCTTGGAGGGGTCCTTCACAGTTGCAAGAGAAGAAGGTAAGATACCAACGAGCGAGGAAGAACCAACGTTTACCAGTATTTGCCGCCTCGTCTTGACAACGTCTAAAGGACACGTCGCTGCTGCAGCAATGCTCCCGGCCAGAAATCCACCACAAACGTTCGCGGTAAGAACGCTTAGTGCGCTATCCGAGCCAAGTCTTTGACGGACGCTCTTCCTAATCTGCGAAAGCTTGCGTCAAACAAGAAAGAAAAAAAAAAGAAAGAAAAGAGCTTCTTACAGGCTCTAAAATGCTCCAGCAAATCGCTGAGAAGGGCACGTCTCGAGCTAGTTGTGCTCCAACGCCCGTCCACAAGCCTCTGACCCTTTGGACTAAAGAACCGAGGTGAGAATGCAAGGAAAACCAATGGTATTGTAAAAGCACTTACGTGAGCCACCCGGTCGTTCTGAAGCTCCAGACATTGTAGCCCACATCCCCGGAGGACTCACACCTTGGCGAACCTCCTTATGAGCCTAAACCATGTAAAAACTTTCAGCTCTGCTTGTAATCGGCACAACGAAAACAAAACTCGACATGAAAAGAAAGAGCAAACCTGCATTCGGGTCCGAGCTAATTCAATGGGACCACAGACAATGCATGCCAGGGACCTCGCCACAGTACCAGCTATAAGCGGCGTGTATGGCTCAATGTGAAGAGCGTTTCTCTTGGAAACATCCTCCAGCCACTCGTGAAAGACATCATACACCGGCAAGTAGATCCCAACCTGTTCACGAGAAATGAACTTAGAGACCATCTTAAACCGGCAGAAGAGCGAACACTCACGGTAGGAACCGCAATGGCGAGTGCTGCGTCCGTGCCACGCCAGAGACGTAAGAATCCTTCCTGTTTCATTCGATTAGTCAATGCAACGTAAACAAGAACTCTCGAAACCGTGCCTGTCGAACGACTTTGTAGAAAACATCCCAAGTTCCCTTGTAGCGGAAACAATCCGGGGGACACTGTGGAACTTCGGCAGGACCACCCCGTGGGCAAACGGGAGGACACTTCCCATCAAGCACCTAGAAAAAAGCAGCCATAAGCTAGAAAAAAAAAAGAAAGAAAAAAATCGATTGCTTACCTGGTGCTGGAGAGAGTCTGTGATGTGATTTTGATACTGGACTCCTGCTGCTTGTGCCTGGAGCCTAGTCTACAAGGCAAAATCACAAGCTTAGCCATGGAAAACTTAAGAAAAGAAAAAGAGTACCTTCGCTACATCCAAAGGATTCACAATGACAGCTGACAGGAAAGCTGCGCCGGCCGCGGAGATCGTTTTCTCTTTGAAATTCACTTTGGGAGCGCTAGATTTCCCATCCTCTTCTGCTTCAATGCCACGATTTCCCGATGAGGATTCATGCTTCCCGGCCGTGGACGAGTTCACAGTGACCGCAGGAAACCAGATATTGCTCGCGGAATGCCGGGACACCATCAGAAGTTCATCGGCTTCCTGGAAAACGAGCAAGCGACGTGAGAAATTCCGCGCAAGAAGATTTCTCACAAGAACATCGATCAGAAGCTAGGGAATGGATCAAGATTGCAGAACAAAAGAGGCGGCTACCTCTGGCGCCCGAAGAACCCTATTGGAAGAAGAAAATTTTAGGGCGTAGACGAAACTGGCCTTGAGGGTTTTGGCAACAGGGACAAATCGCCGCCACTGGATCGGAAACGTGGACGACGGTGAGAGAGCCACGTCTCCAATTCGTTGGGTTCTAGAGAATATCCTTGTAAAAGCTAATGGACGTGTCAGCCAAAGGAACGAAATATTTACAGCATCTCTTTGGTGGATTGTTTAGTCTCTTGTGAGAGCCAATGGCCTGTGCTCTATAAAGCCAAGAGCCATGCCTTTGGCTATGGCCGCCCGAACGAAAGAGATGTTGGAAGTGAGCGTTGGAGCTTGAGAGCTATCACCCGTTCCAAAAACTATCTTGTGTTTTCCATGGATCCTCCCAGTTTGTGGGAGCGCCATCACCCTCTCGGAGGGATTGTCTGGAACGATAAAAGGCCTGGAGTTGCAAAGAAAAACGCTCGCATTTCTCAAGCGAAAGAGAAAAAACTTACTTCAAGCAATCGTGAAGAGCTGCCGCTCTTCTCTGCTCGTCCGGGCCACCGATCACTGAGACGATTGAATCGAACTCCTTCCAGGCAAACTGGGAGACCATCGGTTGCCTCTCTTTGAAAATCATCGCAACTTCGCGCAAAAAGGGCCTTTCCAGCTCAAGCAGTGCCTGGAAGATCAAAGTAACCTCGATCATCGTCAAGAGCAAGAGAAAAGAAAAAAGAACTTTTCATACCTGCGTCTTAAAGAAGTGACCAAAACTCGAGTACTTCTTTTGCAGCTGCTTGACAGAGCACCACGCCAGAGACGATGCGACACCATTGCTGATCCCACAGACAAGCCCGATCAAAGCCGTGGTATCGAGATTCACGAGCTCGACTCTCTCACTCCGGCCACCCCAATCCCTACTCACGTCCTTCAAAATCCTGTAGAAGCCACTCTCCTCCAAGCCGTGCTCCACGATCCCGACTATAGACTCTGTGTATTCGTTTGCGTTGATAACCTCTCCCTCGAAGACGCTCGCCGGAGCTACCTTGAGCCGATACATGACCGCTGCCTTGACTGGAAGAGAGATCCAGCTACTGCTCAGCGATTCCTCTTCCTGATCCTCGTCGACCAAGAGCCACTCCCCAGCCTCAACCTCGCTAAACTTGTGAAGATCGTCCACTTCGATCTGGTACTCGCTAAACTCCGACTTGAAGCTCTCGGCCACGCCCCTCTCGACGCCCCTGGCGAAGTAGAAGATGAGGAAGTCGGGTCGAGTGACTGGATTCGCCACCGCTGCCTGGACGAGGATTTCTGCCCTGGATCGGAGCTCCGGCCATGAAACGTGCTTGGGATTTCGATCCGACACCACCATCCATGCCGGTTTCCCATCGTACATCCCCACCAGATCGACGTGAGCTCGAGACGATGGCGATCCTAGAAAGCTCTTGTTGACGCCGCAGATCCCACTCACGTAGGGGTGCTGGAGAAGTTGGATCAATGCCTCGAAATGCCCGAAATTCGAGCTGCCAAGACACCCAGCGCTCTCAAATCTCGGCTATAAATCAGCAACATTACCTGTCGGGAGGGCCGGATCTCTCCTCGAGCGCTCCCAGCTTCGACAAACTCCTGCGGCAATCCGCCATGATCTTCCCCACCGACAGCGCCTCGATAGCCGTCCTTGCGGCGCCGACGCGGGCGCGCAGCAGCTCATCGCCGAGATCCATCGAGAGAAAACACGACACACTTACTCCATCGCAAGAACCCTAAATGCCAGGGCGAGCCAACCCTAAAAACTAAATAGCATAGCTTATATTGATTAGAGAACAGTATATATAGTAGTAGTTACATAGTAGGTATTTAAAAAGTGGGGCTCTTCGCGGGCTTGGGATTCTTCCTCCTCTTGCCACTCCCTTTCTCGCACTGGCTCGTCACATCGTCCTCGTTGACCACGGCATTTAGAACCTCTGACTCGGGCGACGACCGGTCAGCGCTGGTCGCCACCTCGCTGACCGAGCAGCACACCGCCGGCTTGACCGCCGGTTCGACCTCTATGCTGACCTCGCTGACCCCTGCGATGACCTCCTCCACTGGGTTGACCAGGCTGACCACCACCGCCATCTTCTTGTTTCGCTTCTTCTTTGCCCTAGCCATCTTGGCGGCGGCGGCGCCGGGGCCCTTGGAGTGGCCGACGTAGTGGAGATGCTGGTTGACCGTGAGCCGCCCCGTTGACTCGCGGTTGTAGGCGCACGAGGAGCGGCCGTCGTTGACCATGGTCAGCTCCTGGTCCCGGGGGCAGCGCGGCTCCACGATCGCCCGCAGTTTGCACTGCAGCGAGCAGAAGCGCTTGCTCGGATCCATGAGCGACCGCTGGCACACGCTGCAGTGGCTCACCGCGATCACCATCTTGGGCTGGTGCGTGCGCGCCTGGATGAACACAATGTGGCTGTGGTTGATGTAGAAGAACTGGATGTCGACCAGGTTGACAAAGGGCTGGATGTCCTCGACCTTGATCGAGTTCTCGTGCGACGCCTTTCGGACTTGCAGGCACGAGTGACCCCGGTGGGCTTGCGACTCCGACTCCGCCTTGCAGACCCCCACCTTGCACTGGACGCAGAAGTACTTCCTCGCGGAATGGCGCGGGCACTGGCAGCTCACAAAGTACTCAGAATGGATGAATGCGGTGAGCCATGGAGGACCTCGCCTGTCCACATTTGACCCAGCGGCGCTGACCCGGGCCGCATTGTCAACGGGCACGGTCAAAGCCAGCCATGGAGCGCTACATTTCTCATCCTCAACGCCGCTACCACCATCGAAGCCGCCACCACCACCGCCATTGCTAAAGAAACCCATGGTAGAAGGCAAGGAATTGGGGAAGAAGAATGGAGGTGAAAAAGCTAGCCCTCGACGAGAGAGTTTTACCTAGGGCGAAAATAACAAGTTAATCCGGTCCGTGCTTGTCGCGGTGCTGCCGCGCGGCCTTCACCATCACACCAAGCCTTTTGGTGCTATATTTGGCACTAAATTAGCTCCAAATAAGACTGATTATTTTAAGGCCGGGAGAATCCCGAATGAGGTGGCTTGCGATCCAAGTCTATATGTGTGCGTGGCCAAATCCGACGGATACGATTCCCAGAATCTGACACGTGGCACGCCCCCGCGCGTTGACTGTATGGACGGCGAGGATGGGCTCCAGCTCACGGGGCATTTTAGGGTTCTACCCTTTTTCTCCCCTGGCGCAGGGATTTTTTTGTCCGGTCGCGCTTCCGACACAGTGGCGCGCTGGCGGCCCGTGATTCAATGCAGGAGTCGATTGGGATTGCTTTGTCGCTTCTCGATCCGGCAGTGGCGTCGCGGGAGTTGATCCAGGTGTGATATTTTGCTCTCGAAGGCGCTGTAGCAGCGGAGGGGTTTTGGATCATGTTTCTTCGCGGCTGAGAGGCGGTATGACGAAGGAGAGGGGGCATGTTGTTCACAGTGGAGGATGCCGGAGCCTGCAATTTGTTCCTGGATTGTCGTCGCCCTCGCCAGCGGTGTATCGAGTCCCGAGAACTCCTCTCGCGAATGGACCGTTTAGAGGATTGATCATCTGTGTCACTGGCCTGTCCAAAGGTATGCTTTTCTAGCTAGGATCTGCTCCTTCGCTGATAAAATGTGGTGATTTTTTCCTCACAGAAGTTCGAGCTCAAGTCCAAGATGCCACCGAGAGAATGGGTGGAGTGTACAGTCCGGATCTACATCCTCAGTGTACACACCTGGTCGTCCAGATATCCACCATTTTCTTTGGTTTCTCGCTTTGGTTTTTCTAGCTCTTTCCTTGACTCCTCGCACAGCTTTGTTGGACGAAAGCTTGAGCATGCTTTGAAGCACGGGGTAAAACGTGGATTGTTCGTCGTGACTTTGGCATGGTTTATCAACTCAGCTAAGCTAAATGGTATGAAGGTATTTTTTTCTTCCGGACGTGTCAGACAGTGTCCTTGTTTTTGCAGAACGTCTGGACGAATCTTTGTACGCTGTGTCAAAGAATTCCTTTTTCAACGCCGTGATTTCTCCGGAACAGAGGCTTTTCGATGGCGAACACGCTTGCTTGCCCAGCAGATTCGAAGAAAGCAAATCCGGAGACATCTCAGTGAAGTCCCTGGCGGAGTCTCCAAATGCCGAGAGCAAGCGTGGTCTTCTCTTGAGAGGCTTCACGCTTTACCTGGATCCGTGTCTTTCTGAGGACGTGCAAGCGAAGGTAACAATCACAAGGAATCAATTGTCAGTCTCTCAGATGTGACTGTCTTGGAACAGGTGGTCGCTGGAGCAAGCAAAGAAGGTGCGACTTTTGCTGACAACTGGTACAGTGGTTCCGATGTTACACATGTTGTCTGTGAAAGGGACTCTTTTCTAACTTATACGGGGTCAACATGTAATCTAGTCACTGTGGGTACAGCTTCGGTCCATTGTTCTTCCGAGCTCTCTAATGTCTTTTTCTTTTGTCAGCCATTATGGTTGTTGAAGAGTCTCAAAGAGCATGCGCTGCAGCGCATGGTGCAACTATCAACAGATCTAGCGCGGCACTTGGCTTTTGTGGCTGATCTTTCGCAAAGTAAAAGTTCGTTGCAGGTTTGTTTTGCTGTCATCTTCTCTCCAAGTTTGAGTTTTTTTTTACTGAATTTCAGTGGTGTCTGGCAGAATGAAGACGCGGTTAAGTCTCTTCAAACAGAACGTGAGGAGCTCGTTAAGAACGCGAAAGAAGGCGTAAGGAGGCGCAGAGGACAACGCAAACAAGTAGGGAAGCTTTCTAGATGGATATCTCTAATGTGTTGTGTTACGTTTTCAGCCATGTCGGACATTGCCACGCCCAATCACTGGAGCCACACTTTTAGATGGCCTGTGCTGGTCTGTTACGGATTGTCCTTCAGCAGCAAAGGTTTACGCCGAAGTTTCTCCCAGTGACGAGTTCTTCGATGCTCCTGATAATGGGAACACGTCGGAATCAGAGAGTGATTTGTTTGCACGTCCGCTCACTGAAAGGTAAGCCAATGCATCCTACGTTTTAGCCCGACTTTCTTACACTGGCTTGCTTTGCAGTGAAAGGCAGGAGATAATTTATAATGCAGTCTTTTTGACTGTCATGTTTCCAGTGGACCGCTTTGCCGAGATGGGACCGTCGTCGAGATCATTTTTCTGTGAGAACGGCTTCACCAGGCAACAAATAATGGAAAACATCTATCAGTTTTACCAGGTCTGGGCATTTTGTTTTAAGACTTTTCTACTTCCTCACATTCTGGATTCAATCGATGCAGGAGCCTTTGTCGGAACAGGAGTTGAACGTAGCAATCAACACAGATTCGAAGCACGCTGACAAGCTTCGAGCCTTGTACGCGGCCAGAGGGAGCAGTAACGACGTCATGAAGCGTCACGAGTTTATTGGAGGCAGGAGATGCTTTGATGGCCTCAAGCGGCTAAGCCGGGAAAACACCGGACAGATTTACGAGCTACTGCTGGCATCTTGATCAAAAACACAAATAACACAAACCTGTATATATCAGAAAAGGTTTTGCTGGTAAGTGGAGATAATTTTTTTCTTTGCTACTATGGGGACCAGCAGCATCACCTGGCTTGGGAATCAAGAATGGTACCTTCAAGTTTGTTTTCCTATTTGATCACTAAGATGAATCTCTTTTCTCAGGCCCGAATGGAGAAGAGACACTGGAAGAGGCTGGCGGCTGCCGGGCTCTCGCTGCTGCTACTCAGAGTTGCCTACGACGCCATCCTCTTCTTTTCGCCGCTGATAATCTCCACGATGCTGTGCGTGCTGTCGTTCAGACGACTGGGCTTGCTGCTCGAGGAGTGTAGGCCGCAGCTAGTGGAAAATCCCGAGGAGTCGCAGGGCAGTGGCAGTGGCCGAGACACTGGTCGACTGGAAAAATCTGGGGGACTGGAAAAATCTTACAGGCACTTCCAGAAACTTGCTGTTCGTCCGGTGATAGTCGAGGAGGTGGTAGTGAAAGAACGCCAGGAGGGACGAGATTCCGGTGAAGACGAGGAGACGATGGTCGTGCAGGCAGGAAGAGATTCCAGTGGAGACGAGGTCGAGCAGGCAGTCCAGAGCTCCAGTGACGAAGAGGATGATGTCACTTCCGCGATGGATGATAGTGATTTTGGGAGGAACAGCAGCAGCAGCTCCGAGATTGATCGTTACATGAGCTTGTTCGTGGAGGAGAGCGATGATCCGGAGGTGGTGGAGGAGAGAGCCAGTTGTTCCGATGGTGTTGATGGACAAGAGAGCATCCCGAGAGCGGTTTTTCTTCCAGCTCGAAGAAAGCATTTTCTGAGTGACGTGCTTTTCTTGCCGGCCTTGTTTCGAGTCACTCGCAGGTTGCTTATGCGTGCCTTCTTTGCAACCTTTTAAGAACTCCATTTGATAAAATGGACGAATATTCATTCTGGAGCTGAAAGTATTTGGCCCATACAGGTTTCGAACCTGCGACCTTGGCGTTATTAGCACCACTGACCAGCTGAGCTAATAGGCCTTACATTTTTAATTAGTTATTATTTTACAGTTATAAAACAAAATTGTTAATAGTATTCAGTATCACAATAAAAGAATTTTGACACTATAATTCCACAAGAAATATAAATTTCTTCGCAAGACAAGTTTAAACTCAAGTTTTATTTCCGGCGTCGTTTGTACCTGGAAAATAAAAGTTGAAGTTTTCCATAAAAGTTTAACAAACCGTACCTTGCTTTGCTCTTGAACGAGCGCTTGGACACGCCAGGTTTTCTCTTGGGCTTCTTGTTCGTAGCATCACGTCTGGAAGCACCAGCCTCCGGTTTAGACGATCTCACCATTTCATCCTCAGCATCCTTTTTCTTCTTCTTCCTCTTCGTGTGATCAGAGCTCGTCTTTCTAGGAGTAAATCTCCCTTCCTGTCTCGCTTTCTCCGCAGCTTTCACAGCCTTTGCACGCCTGTAGCCGATGTCCACAAGAGATGTACCCGGGTTGTTCTTGTTCTTCTTTCCTCCTCCCTGTTGAAAGAAGCCCCCGGATCTTAGTTAGCTCTAGATATTGAAAACTCTCTCTCCCTCTCACCTTTCTATGCTGGTTTTCGTCTTCATTAGCGCCTTCCTCTGCCGTCTCTCTGGCGGCTTCTAAGCGCCGGCGCTTCTTACGTGGTAAGGCTTTCTGTCAAGACAACACATGAGATGGCACGCTCGAAAGAATAGCCACGCGTATGTTACCTCTGTTTCGGCTTTCCGCTTCTCTTTCTTTTGAAGCTCCTCGCCTTCGTCAACACTAATAGCCTTCTTTTTCAGCGCTGGCCCTTTGGCTTCCTGTTAGAGCAGATTGTTATAATGGTTCAGTAACATACGATGCCGGAGATACCTTGGCAATGCGTGTTTTGTCTTGTTGAGACTGAAACCACGTCTTTTTGGGCCGCGCAAATATTTCTGCCTCGTAGTCCATCATGTTTTGTGCCTGATAAATGAAAGACACACAAGGTAAGAGTTACAAGTCCCTAGTGCACCACCTTGTTAGCTTCCATCTCCGCTTTCCTCAAAAACTTCTCTTCCCTGAAGCCAAAAAAGTCAGTCAGGTTCAAATCCACACAAACAAACCTTTCTTGTTGAAGTATCTGAACTAGATCTTCTTCCATCTTTTCAATGCGCTCACGCCACGATGCAATGGATGTAGCAGCGACAACCCGCTTCTGGAGTTTGGATCCAGCTCTTTTAGCCTGAAGGGACAGACAATACGTTCATAAGGTGAACATGTATACTTCATATCAACATACCACAGCCTTCAAAAGCAGACGGTCTTGTTCAGTCATCAAAGTGACTGAACGGCCATGTCTCCCAGCTCGAGCAGTTCGTCCTACTCGATGAACATAACTACGTGGATTTCAATAACAAATAGAAACAGAGAGATGTGCTTACGTTTTGATTTCCTTGGGACACTCTAAGTTTATCACCGATTCAACGCCTATAATATCGAGTCCCTGCAAACAAACTTAAGCTCGTTGCGCATAGTGAAAGCCATGTAATACTTACACGAGCAGCCACATCCGTAGCAATCAAAAAGTCTACCTCCTGCTTCCTAAATGCTTCTAATGCCTGGCGTAAAAGTTCCCCAAGTCATATAAAAAGCTCGTAACGAAACACAGACCTCTAGCCGTTGAGCTTGTGTTAGATTCCCATGGAGCTCAGCTGATTTTAAACCCGACAGACCAAACAGTATTTTGAGGCGATGAGCCTCCACCTTCGTGCCACTGAAAAAACAGAAAAGGTTAAGACTTTACATTGGATAGAACACTAAGAACCTGAAAATGATTGTTTTCGACTTAAGTGACCGTGAGCACAGGGAAAGTACTATAGCCTCTTTATCTTCTTCATGCCCAGCCCGGATTCTGATCACTCTGCGCAAGAAACACAACAGTCAAGATAGATTCCTTCCAAGATTAATGGACGCACTCTTCGGTGAGCGTCGAAGGACGCTCAGTTGATGGATCGGCTGACAGCCTGACTGGACTTTTCAGTGAGAGCTTGATCAATTCAGATACTTCGTCCGTCATCGTAGCCGAAAAGAGCATTGTCTGTCGTCTGGAAGGACATAGTTTCACCTATGCATAGTCCACACAATCAGACGCAAAATACACTATGTAAATGAAACTCTACCAGCTCGTGGATTTCTTCTCGAAAACCGAGTTCTAGCAAACGATCAGCTTCGTCCAGTACCAAAATTGCAAGTTCTTCGAGGCCAACGGATTGTGTATTTCGCAAATGATCAATCATACGACCCGGGGTGGCAACTACAATGTCTGGATGTGTTCGAAGAGCTACTTCTTGTACCTACAAAACCATTGCAGAATGCAAAGCTTATAAAGACAATCTTTCATACCTTGCTTGAAAGACCACCTACGACTAGACAGCATCTAATATCTGTGAACTGTGCCAATTTTTCAATCATGCTATGGAGCCTGTACAGAAAGAGTTTGTTAAAAGACAAATGCCAAGCTACAACTCGTACTGTACTGCCAGCTCCCTCGTTGGAGTAATGATAAGAACCCGTATAGCCGGTATACGTCGGGGTCTAAACAGAAGCCTTTCCAGGATAGGCAAAGCAAATGCCGCCGTCTGCAGATAACGTGTAAGATTACAACAATAGATTACAACTTCATCTGCAAACCTTCCCCGAACCAGTCACAGCGCTGCCGCAAATGTCTCTTCCGGCAAGAGCTAGTGGGATGCAAGCTGCCTGTTGATGTCTCAAACAAGAAAATCAAAAACGGAAAAAATGAAAAGTGAATCACAGCATTTTACCTGAATAGGAGTGGGCTGGCGGTAGCCAAGAGCGTCGCAAGCCCGTAAAAGAGGCCGTGAGACGTTGAGTTCTATGAAAGACGATGCGTTGAAGGAAGCACCATGGTTAGAAGAAAAAAACTGCGCCTTTTTGTTGGTATTCCCGGCTTTTGCAGGCTACAAAGAAAAAAGAAACGAAACAAATTAAGAACAAAAAAAAGAAATTAAAAAAAATCAGGCTTGTTAGCATGGTTTTCCTCTTTCCCATACCTTCTCTTTTTTCGAATCGAGACTTTTCTTTCGCTGACTGTGATCAAGTTGTTCTTTCTCATCTTCATCGGTAGAGTCTTGTCCGCGATCTTTTTCCCCCTGCTCATCGTGATTTTCCTCTTCACCATCCTGGTCCACATCCTCTTCTTCATCATCCTGCTCTATATCATCTTCGTCAATGTCCTCGTCTAGATCATCTTCCCCCTCTTCATCAGAATCTTGAGCACCTTCATCCTCCTCTATACCGCTTTCATCGCTAATATTCCCCTCACTGGCATTGTCTCTATTTCTCTTCCGAGCAACGCTTCTGCCTTTGGCCCATGCGTGTTCCAGAAGTTCCTCCTCTTCCTCGTCGCTGTCCTGATTCCTAGCAGGCTGCTTACCCGCATTGAGGCGCTGCTTGATCTTGTGATCGATGGACGTGGTGTTGCGCTCGCGATGCTCCTGCTCGCTAGCCTTTGCATAGCCAGAGAATTCCCAGGGCGATTGCACCACGGCCACAGCACCGCCGCCGTCCAATCCATCCCAAGTGAAACCCTTGTTCATCACTGGAAATGGGTTTAGGGCTTATGGCTTGCCCTAAGAACGACATTGAATTATCCAATATACATACACACACACACACACTCTCTCTCTCTCTCTCTCTCTCTCTGAGCAATTGCCTAGCAAATGCTAGGTGGTTAGCAAAATTCATGCAATTTCAAGAGAAGTTGTTGTTATGTAGTTATGGCTAATTTAATTCCCATTGATTAGTGGCTTTGATCTGATGATTGCTAGATAATTCGCTCTGAACCTACTTGCTATATCCTAGGTAAGAGAAAAACATTTAATCCTCCATCTTATTAAGAGCCTCTAGAGTTAGAGCTGTCTTCAATGTTAGCTCACTTTAAGAAAGTGAGTTTATAAGCTGTGATAATCCCACAATTAAGAAAGCTAGCACAACTTTGATTTTATGGCACCCAAGAGTATTATGCCTTAGAACTTGCTGCAACTCAATCTCCAACACTCTAGTTGACACCTATGCAAAGTGTAAGAGCATGTTGGACAATTAAGTAGTGTTTGACTAAATGAAGCATCATCACATACCTAGAACAGGGGAGAGCAAAATGGTTTTAAAATTTATGAATGCATAGGGAAAAAATTCTGTTAATATTTGCAGCAGTGCTACTAATGGCTTGTGGGACTTTGGTGGATTTGGAAATTGGAAGGGAATTCAATGCTGGGATCTGCAAGAGGCAATAATGTCACAAACAATATTTATGGCAAGTGTGGAATTATAGCCATTGCTTAGCACATCTTTGATTTCCCTGTGATATCCAGGGACATGGTTTTGTGGAACATGCTAATAGCAAGTTATAGTTACAAAGGCAATGTAGCCAAGGTGGTGGAGATTTTTGGCAAGTGGGCACTAAGCTGGATAGATTTTCATTCCTCTTTGTTATCACACTATGCAATGCTGCAAGTAGGGTTGAAAGTTTTTCCAAGAGATATGGAGGTATGGCATAGCTCCAAGGAGAGTTGCTTAGTGCAATGGAAGCACCCTAAATCAAGGGAGGTCTACTATGAATAATTGGCCAGTGCAAACATGACCCAGTAATTGCCCAGCCAAACTCACCAATGTATCTTTGTGATAAAACTTGCTCACAGCTCACAATCTCCTTGTTGATCCCTAGCTGCCTAGGAGTCACTCTTCTTCACTCTAAGCCATCTAAGAAACTTCCTGACTTTTCTAACAGAGCCACTACTTCTGGTATACTTTGTGAGACTTCACATAGAAAC